AGGTGGGACAGAACTTCCGTAATGAATATATTAGGTATTCATTGGTCATTTAAAGATAATAGAAAGGTTATAGATGAAGCAAAAGATGTAAGATTGTTGTTTTATCCAGTTTCCTAAACTAAAATGAGGTTCATCTCCAATATGACTCCAGTTTGTGCTAGTTTATTGTTAATTATATGGTGGCGATGGTTAACAGTCGGTCACAAAACTTTCCTCTTGACCATTAGACGGTCTCTCAACAATATGTGACTACTGCAAGTCAAATTCAGGAGTTATCATCAGTTCAAAAGTTACAGGCTTTTACACTCTACTACTCAACCACAAGAATCACTTCTTGCATAGTAAATACGACTAAATATTTGGATTTTTTAATTTTACCGCTTGTCACTTTTTTGGAGGTCGTTATTCGCTCTCTATAGACTTGCAAAAATCCTTCTTCGCTTGTCTTGAAGTTGGTGATAGTGGAAATTCTTTTAAGCTAATCTGTACTGAACACCTTCTAAAATGAAAAGATATAGAATTTCTGAACAAAAGTATTTAAGACTACTATCGCTCTGACTCTCTGAGATAGCCGTGGTTTGGTAGACTAGTAGTTATTCTGGGTGATGACCGAAGGTGAAATGCAAATTCGAACCGTGACCTGATTCAGACCAACAACTACCAGGTTTCCTGCCCGATGCTCTACCAACTGAGGTTTGAGGTCCGACTGCTGACCAGATTCTTATTTCACTTCTCTAATTCAGTTAGATTTCGATTGGGATGAGAAGTGAATACGATCCAGCGGTAGTAACGCATCACGAATTCACTTGGTAGTCCCACAAAACCTATGGTGATTGCAGTGAAATAAAAATCTGGTCATCAGTTGGATCTTGTGCCTCAGTTAGTAGTGCGTCATGCCGGAAACCCGGTAGTCGCTGGTTCGAATCCGGTTACGGTTCGAATTTTCATTTCACCTTCAGCCATCACCCAGTATCAACTAATAATCTGACAAAGTGTACCTACAGTAGGTAATATTAGTAAGTATTAATCGTGGAAATTTGAAAAATATCGATTTAGAAAGCGTCTGTATCTTGATCTTTCTTTGTTCAAATATGCATCAGTTTAGACACATAAAATACAACACCAACACATACACACACATTCACATGAAGAAATGAAGAGAAAGGGAGCCGACATCTTCCCATGTATAATACTTCATTGTGAAGACAAATAAAATAGTTTAAGCCGGCTGGTCTTACAGAAACCGTTTAAAAAAAACTTTATCTTGTATGAAACAAGAAATTCAGGGGAAAAAGTAACTGCCGACTTACTTTGCATCATTACCTACTTATCAATTTAAACACGAACGCATACACACAACCACGTACATGTATGAATACAATAGTGCACACGATTACAATACATGTAAACTGCATTATAGTCATAATAATAATAATAATTAAAAAAGAAATAAGCACTGGGTTAGTTAAACTAACCGGTAGTTAGAAATAATAATAACCAGGTGTATACCAGCAGTGTAGGCAATACTGTTACCAACAAAAATAATATTGAGTGTATCTTTTAACGAACTTGCTTATTGCTTGCTTCTGCATTCTCCTTTCAATGGAGCTGGTGTACACCTAATGGTTGGTGATTTTAGTCTCTGTCACCTTCTGAAACAGTGAAAGCGTTAGTATTTTTCGGTGCTACTTATGTACAATTCAGTAGTATATAGTGCGTTGTCTCTTGAAAAGTTGATTAGAAATTACATCTCAGTAGAAGTATGGGGGAGACAAAGAGAGAGATTTCGGTAAGAAATACAAGAGACAAGTCATGAAATAAGAGAAGTTGAAGAATAATTTATTTCTAATTTATAAAGCAGATACTATTTGCATCAATTTCATTGAAAGTAAGGTTTAAACATTTCATAAAACCTCAAGGCGATGCTCACTTGCATGGTTTCGGTGCTACTCTACACTTGTTCCCGTAAAGATGATAGTTACCTCATGAGTAGATGATAAGTTCAAGGTAGGAAAAAGTGACTTCTGTGGTGACACTCCGACGGTATCTACCACTAATTTCTACGTGAATGCCAACCGTGATAGGAAATCAAGATGTCTTCAGTGGATTTCACTTATTTTTCAGAAATTCATTATGAAGATACTTTAGTATTATGTCTGAAATAGTCAAAGGATGTTTCTTGACCTAGAGGGAAACCTACATTAAATATTCGTTTTTTCTATCAGTTACCACAGTTTCATTCATTGATAATTATAGCAATATTTAACAGGTCGAATCGTGTTAATTCTAACTGACCAACTGTTTTGCGAGTGTGTGCATCATGTGTATAGTTTCGAAATGTAGCTTAACTTTAGTTCTTACAACTGTGATATGTAAGAAACATTGACAAGGTGAAACACAATGACTAGAGAAACATGGGAATTTACCACATTTTCATTGACGTACTCATAATGAGTGGTTTAAGAGATGAGAATGGAAAGATGGGAATCAACAACGTTCGTTTTGACATAGTTCCTCATTATTCTCACTGTCTTCAACTGATAATAGGGGAAAATGAAAAGAAAGAGAAGAAGGTAAGAGGAAATAAGTAATGAAAATAGTTAGAGTTTTGGGAATAGAACAGTATGGATACCTTAGTACAACTGATGCCTATTTAGCTATATTGCATAAAGCTTACAACTACTGATCTCATATCTAAAACAGGTGGCTTACAGTTCGTCATATAGCACTGAATTCCTCCACGGCTGTTAAACATTTGTATGGCTACCCCGTTTTTAGGTTTTTTATCGGCCAGATATCAACTTTATCTTATGAATAAACAGATAGACAAAATCGACGTGCATCGGCTCAAGTTGCCACACTCCGCACTAGTATACAAAGAACAGATGGACAGAATAAAACTGATATCAAAGCAGAAAAAGTTGTGTGAGATAATATTAAATCTGAAGATGAGGGTTAGTGCAAATGTTCAAGCTTTAGAAGACGTCAAGGAGTGCCGCTGAGATCAATTTTCAGTCATGTTACCAAGAGTCATCAACCACTAATTCTTATCGTTCGAGGGATCCCAGTTAGGTAGTCTACATTTCCCCCAAAAGCTCAGACTAACAGTCAGAGGCTTCATCGACTGGCATGACATCTTGGTCTGACCACAATGATCCTTCTTACAACCTAACCCAACTTTCTCTAATATTTAACGTCTAGGTAGGCGATGGACTGGCGTACGCAATACATTTCCAAACCACCTCAGACGATGGAGGGTGACAACCTCATTAGTCGACTTATCGTCCTTCCTTACTACTCTCCATCTAACTTCAGCATTGCTGACATGGTGATTCCACCGAATGCAAGCGATGCCACGAAGGCACCTGTGATCAAGAGCCTGTCATCACTTCATGTCTTCTAATTCTGACGACCACGTCTGACAGCCGTATAACAGGAAAGAATGGACTACATCAGAGCAAAATATTCATCCTTTGATAGATAGTCGGATATCTGACCAGTCGGCGCCACAGGTGATGCAGTTTGGCGAATGTCGAATGGGCCTTTCGTTTTCTAGTTGAGATTTTGTCAGCAACCAGCCTGTTCAGGCCGAAGCAACTATCCATTTGAGTGAAGTACTAGACACATTCAACCACTTCACTCTATTTCCTTAAACTGGCAGCAGTTGCAGACCAGTTCTGGAAGGTCATCTTGCATATGACAGGTGCAAAACAAATATCAAATATACTCAGATTTCTGCTCAACGCGTTCAGAAGAATAACAGTGAAGGTGACAGATGGTCTGGTTAACTACGATGTTTATGGTTCACAGCCTGATCTAAGCGTGACATCACGATTACTCACACAGTAATTCCACTACACTTGGAATCAGTTAGTGATCAGATGTTTGAAAACTCCGTACTACTTTCTTCTTCAGCTATCATTTTTCATTGGTTTAAGATAATAGAGAAAAAGAGAGCATTCTGAAAAGTACATTTATTTTTCTAAAAGATATTTGAATACCCTGCCAGTTCAACAAATGGTGAAGGTCAGCTAATAATCAACCTGGGCTGATGTGAACTCATGGGAAGCGAAGTGGTAGTTGCGCTCAACCACTACTGAATCAATGGCAAATTACAGTTCTAAAGGCAATAAACACTAATTTAAATTAAAGATGTTGCGTATATATATTATACGGAATCTTTCATTCTTTTGTTTCGATAAGACGCTTAACTACAAAAAGAATACGTATCCACAAAAATAAAGGAATCCAATTGTTCCTTGGATGATATTTCACTGTCATCTGTGAAACTGATAAATGTAATCTCTAAAAACAGGTGACTCCGTACCACTTTGACCCATGAGTAGAAGAAAGTATAGACCAAACATAGGTTATAACACCGTTTGGAAGAAAGGCTGAAATCTGATTGTTAATGAATACTCTGAGACTTCAATAATATAGAGAATATGATGCTTCCGGTCTTTTGAACCACTTTCATCGCACTGAAACTAGGAAATTCTGCTATTAGAGGGCGGTTATGAGTTAGTAAAGACAATTTAGAAAATTTAATTTTGTATCTTTAGCTTTAACAAATCTATCTTGTCATTAAGCCTGTAATCATTGCCTTGTTATTTGTTGAGTTAAACAGCCTCTTCTGTGTGCTGATCTAAATAATACTGAACAATTTAACTACCAGTGATAGAAATGTAACTATGTAGAGAATTTTCTTCCCAATTTCCAGACTATGCCTTGGAAACCCTTAACCTAATCGAAATTACAGCCCAAATAATTGAGATTTCTAACTTATGAAGTATGTCGTTTATTGTAGATCTATGAATAACTTTAGATTTATAAAATCAAAAAATCTGAATATTTATTGGTCAATGAAATACTTCTTTGCCTCACTTTTTTTATAAATTCTCTTCTAGACTTATTATATAACATCACAAACTATCTGCTCTTAACCAATTAACAGTCAATTTTTAAAGAACCAATTAAAAATTTGTCTCAAGGTCACTTCGAGGTAATGTTATATACCCATCAAATGTTATTTTATACAGTATTGGCATCAATTTCAACCGGTAATATCGAGTCACTAAGTGAGTGGTTTCTTGAATGTATTCTTTTCTTACAAGACATTTATTCTGTAATAAACTATTTGTTACCTTTAAATATTTTTTTTGGAGACAACTAGGTGTTGATATGTAGTTAGAATTGTCTGAAAGTCCTCACGACCATGAAATTTTTGTGCATTCTAGAACATACCTTTTTTCTTGATTACACAAATTCCGTACATACCAGGATTCCCTTGTGTGTTCACTACACAAAGAATTTTGTTTTTATACTTATTTAAAATTATTTTTCATCACCAAGTGAAGAATAAGGACTACATTGTAGTTTCACTATAGTTCGAGGTTTTTCAAAAATCGACCCAAAATGAAATGTCAGGAATTCTAATCTTATGGCCAACTTGGCGTCACTCATCAGCTGATTGGCATTCTTCTAGGCATAATAAAGTGAAAGTTGAATGTAGCTACAAAACATCTTCATTCCTTATAGTCAACAACTTATATTTTTAGAGACCTATCTCTTTGGACCGGCCGTATTTCCTAGCTGGTAGCTTATATGAATTCGGCTAGTATGATGATATTTCTCACGTTTGCACTAGCTGACGAGCTATTAAACCAGTTAGTGCCAGTTATGTTTTACTTGCTAGTATGAAGCTTCACTGTAACATTCAGCCCTGAAATCTGCTGAAATTGAATCACCTTCAGTGATTCGTAGGAAACATAACTGGTAGCTTGATTTCTATAAAATTGTAATCAGTAGCAGATCTGTATATTTTCTTTTGGTCTTTCGTTTCTAACACTTAAACATGTTTTTGTGATAAAGAAGGAATAGTTGCTTCAGCCTAACTACATATTTTTGATAATAGGTTGTTATTTGATACAGCTTAAAGTATTGATAATCTCTCTGTAAATGCTACTCTTGAAAATGCAATCTAGTTTCAAGAAATTATACTGGAATTTGTTTCGTTTAAAAAAAACATTTGAGTGAACTAGTACATGTGCTTTATTCAAGTGGTTTCTTCAATGTAGAAGGGTGTTAAACTCTATTTGTATACAACAAGATTTCACATAAGGAATACATCTAGAATGTAAGATAGTTAATTGAAGTTTACTTTGCAAAACTTCATCTATTCATTCATAAGAATTACTAATACTTATTTAGAAGTTAACACCCTTTAGGTCACGTGACAATTTGGGAACCAGGACCATATAACATGTCTCAAAAATATATAAAGTAATGACATCTGTGGTTCGATAAGCTATAGGCTTTGTAATTTCGATAACGAAGTACTTTCTTACCATTCTGAAGCGATAAACTGTGTGACTCTAAAGGTCATCGTACCAACTACATAAATGATCAACTTGGCTTTTATATTTTATGAAAACTACCCTTCATAGGCGAATTGTAGAGAATCAGTTGGATATCCCACTGGTTGCTGAGGCGGTCTTTAAGGTAAATCTCAGAAACAATAACTTTAAGGCCATTCTAAGAACTGGTGAGATGACTATTCATATTTCTTTATGTTATAAAAAACTACATTCGCAGCCAAAATACCAAAACCTAATTGGTTATTTCAACAGTTGCTAGAGCTGCCTTTAAGGCCGGCTAGTTTTAACAGCCACCTTAGTAACTGGTGTGAGAGCTGTTAATTCATTCCTCTATTTTAAGGCAAAGTACTTTTCCAGACGCAATCTTAAGACCTGATTGGTGTATTCAGCAGTTGCTAGAGTGGCGCTCAAAGTCACCTGAACAACAACTTTTCTAGCCGAAGTAACGAAACTTGATTGGTTATTTCAATAGTTGCAATGGTGACTTAAGGACGAACTCACGGATCAATGCACGTTTTACTGTCAAAAGTCAGTCTACTTAATTATAAGTTGTACATGAGATCTGTTGAACAAATGTGTAGACGAAGGCTAATGAACCACAGAACTAAACATTGTCGTATGCTAATATGACTGAAGAGTAACTGTTGTCACTCATCATAAAGACATTTCTGTAATTTTCCAGTTACCTTCGGTGAGATCATTCACTGATACAGCTGTTCATATTACCGCTGAGGGAATCAGGATGAAAGATATATCTTACTAGTGAATATCAACATATGTGAAACCCAGGAACAAAGCTTCATTAGTTATCTGACATCAAAAACAGAATCCTCCTAGCGAATCAACTTCATGAAAATCTAATCGTAGTGCAAGGAAGTTTAAGGATTTTCTGACATAAAATCGGATTATTTTACAAGAATGCTAGGTCACGGTTGTATACGTTTATGGTTTAAGTCCTTTTTGAATGAAAAAAGTCAAGCCTTACTTAAGGATGAGTTGCAAACTGATTGCAATTATAATTATCAATTTTCACTTTGCGATTCATGAGGAACTAATGAGTTACGGGTTTGAGCTCTGGTCAATCTGCCGAGGTTTAGTCAGCCAAGAGGTATCATTTTCTCTTACACAATAGGTGTGGCTCATTGCCTACCACACGAATGTGCACAAGATTGTTGGATAGATCTCAATTTGATTTTGAATTGATGAGTAAAGTAGCATGAAGCTATTGTTTTCATTCCAAAGATAAGTGAAGTGTCATAGTCTCGAGTTTAAAAAAATGATAGAGATGAAGAGTTGTAGGGAGAAGAGGGAAGACAGTTGGTGCGGTTATGAACTTCCATCGACCGGGTTTACTTGGACATGTGTTGCTCGTGTTTGGTCACAGTCGATCTCGTCGCGCAATGTTAGCTAAATTAGGTTCATTCTATCTGAAGGTTTGTGGAGATTTATTAATTGATTTTAGGTTGGCATTCATAATAGACTGTCAACATTTGGAGGAACATTGGGACCCGAACTTCCAATGAGAAGTCATGACCGTTGGAGTCAACCAAGTCGAACATCAGAACAGTTACCCAACGAAGAGATTAGATGTAGGTCCTGCTATATCGTGAACTAACAGAAATAGGAAATGTGGACCACTGGGTTCTGACCCAGTGGCTCAGTGGTAACGTGTTGGCCACAGAACCTGAAGGCCATGGGTTCGATCCCTGGTGGTGTGGGGTAGCGGGTGCGCACTGCTGAGGAGTCCCATACCAGGACGAAACAGCTGTCCAGAGCTTCCAGGTTCCCAATACTCCTCCAACTGATGTCAGTCCATGATGAATCCCAACCTGAAATCATTAAGGTTCAGGCTGGAAAAGGGATAGGGGTGGCATCAGTACATGAATCCCTTGAATGGTTGGTTTGAGGCATGCAGGAAGATGCAGACTAACCGGTCGGTATCCACATGACAAGAGAAACCAAAGTTTTGAAACATGAGATATTATGGCTCATAATCTATGCCAGTAGTGTAGTTGCTTCCACGCTATTTCTCTATATTAATCGTCATACTTCCTTATTTCTTCATCTTTCATCTTGTTACTTTGTTACTTGATGTCCTGATATGAAGTGTGGGAAGTTGGACCGCTATGCAGTAGTATGTGGTCCTAAGTTGATGATGACGACCCATATCACTGAATGGACACATATTGTTCATAGAAGGAATTTAAACCTCCCAATAATTTCTTTATTATTCAGTTAAGGTAATACTACACTGAAATTCTCATAATTCTAAGCTTTTGTCTGGAGCAATTACACTGATCAGTAAACAGTATTGTCATCATTGCAAACTGTGAAACAAGGATTAACTAAGAACTGGTATAAAAGCAAGTAAGGATAATACAGTGGAGAAAATTTTATTCTCTGACGATATCATTTTCTAAAGCTGCACAATCGTATTTATATCCATCATAAACATATAACAGTCTATTATTCAACAACAGGATACAATTGGATCACTAAGCGAATGCTTAAAACTGAAATCAAGAATGAGAAGTAGTTGCGTAATTATCCTTTAGACAATAGAAATAATAAGAAAGGTAAGGAGTTTAATAAGGTGAAAATTGTTGGTAGATATGAAATCCGAAGATCTTGTGTCCACTTGATAGGTATAAAGAAAGTGAAGAAAGAAATAAGGGTCATAATAAAGGAGATAATAGTAAACTAACTAATCATAGTGAAATCGAGATATTGTGAAAATGTTAAGACCATGGTGAGATAAGAGGTTGAATATGCTTCTTCTGCACGCAGAGATAGCGTTTGAATTAGAGAATTACCTGTACTTCTGCTGCATACAAGTGTCGAAAGCATACTCCTTTTGAACCTTTCCCTTTGAATGTGTAAATGAAATCGAAGGAGGACTGTAGTGGAACTAAACGTCTAGAGTTGTCCAAATTTTAAAGAATTTAACTGTTAATTGATTTACATTCTCCTATCGACAAACATGAAGGGTAGTGCTCAGAGATACGATTGGAAAGTGCACGCTTTGTGCGGCCTATATAACTATCACTACAGGAGCAAGTGAATTTGTAGACACATACTGAGTTGGCTCAAAGTGGCAATTTGTTCCTAACGCAACCCGAAATCAGATACTAACTAGAGAGGCTGATGTGTGGCTTCGCAGCTATTTTGACGATGGATTCTTTAGGATTTTTGGGGTCGTATGCGCTTTGAAACCAAAGTTCATACAATAAGTCTTCTTTTAAACTGTGAGTCTATTATTTCGTTATGTCACGAGACTTTGAAATAACCAACATTTTAAGGTGGTCTAATTAATTAACTTATCCATTCACTCACTTACTTACTTGTTCAATATGATTAAGAATTCCTACTGCATTATATTAGTTTTTCTACAGGTCTTAATAACCACAGGATAGTTCGTTGTGTAACAGAAGTTGGTACCTAATATACATGCTTACTACAACTTAAGTTTTGAACTAGTACAAGTTTCCTGTGTATGTTTGACTGTGGGCCTAAGTGTTTGTATGTTTGGACCAGTGTAGTCAGTTTATTCTGGCATAAAATTTGTCAGTTCACTTTTTTATATGCATATTTATCTTGATGATTTACTACTGTTCAAAGCATTTAATCAATATCACCGTTTCATTAGTGTTACATAACTCAAATGATTAATCTCTTAAGGGTACAAAAGTTGTTTTTTTTCT